TTGAACATCGTTTTGTTTTAGGGAGCAAGGAGCAAACTGCCCTGTTCATTAAACCACCACATCTTCACCGGGGCAACATTTTCTGCCAACGTGGCTTGGAGGTAATTAAAGTACCAATAGCCCTTTTGTAATATCTGCATTTAATCATCTTGTACTTAAAGTTACAGTTAAATGAGCCCCCATCCTATTCAAAGCCTTTAACAATAAGAAAACCAGTAGATGGGGCAGCCCTTTGTTGTGTTTTTGTGTCTTTGTCCTGCCCTGTCACCTTTTCCAGTCTTCACAGAATTACCATTTCTTTTGTTTCTCTGTGATTAGGACAATTTTGGAGAAAATGGGCCTGTGGGGGAAGGTGACTTCCCTCCAAGCAAAAAAAAAAGTGGGACAATTTAAATAAAAAAATACAAAGTATGTATGTGTGATTTGAAACTTATATATTCTGTATACATTTTTAAAAAAATTCACTGTGTAGCATAATAGGAACTACAAAGTGCATTCATCTTACAACCCTGTTTTAATATAATACATACATTTACCTTGTATATTCATTTCATTCATTTTAGTCATGCACGTTAATAAACACAGTTGCTGAAATTAGTTTTTCTGCTGTTGTTATTTACCATGATTGATTTCCTGTGCCTTAGGATTGAAAGTGTCCAGGGTCAGGAGAGGGTGGAGGGGGGAAGCCCACTGCTGCAACTTGGCCCTGGTTTGTCCTCATGGATGAGGTGTTGGGACAGAGGCATTCTACCTCCCCACCTGTCGTAATTGCCTCTATGCATTAGGACACACCAGGGCCAAGTACTGCAGTGAGTGACCAGGAGGAGGAGGAGGAAGAGGAGGAGGAGAGCCAGCCGAGAAAGAGAAAGAGGGACAGAGAGGATGAGCTGCTTCAGCTTCTTAAGGAAGACATGAGGTTGCAGAGAGAGGCAGAGGAGAGGAGAGCACAGGAGAGCAGAGAGAGGATGGACAGGCTGTTCTCTCTACTAGACTTCCAGAAAAATAAATCCCTAAATAATAATATATACAATATTTATTAATGAATTCAAATAAAATATTTGTTAAATAAATTATTTTATTTTCTGTGGTCTTTATAACTATTGGTATTTACAACATATTTACAACATTTATTCCGCTGAGCAGGGAGACCCTGGTGATGCTACCACAATAAAGACCCTGGTGTATTCTGTCAGCAGGACATCATCTGGGGTGGTCTCCAGAGTGTGTCGCATCGTCCATCAGTGGGTTTGCAGGGCTGGTTCAATCGACGGCAGCCATTTCAATAAGATGTTTTAGTAAGAGGCAAGAATAATAAGCTGTGCACATAAAATACTAATTCACAATCTTATTTGGACAAAATAAATCTCTACAAAATATTTCAACTGGCAAAATTGTTAGGATATGAATAGGAATTTACCGATCTTTTACTTGCTTGTTAAAAATATTGGTGGTCAGGGAGCACCTCCTCCAGGGCAGACACCTCTGCAGACAGCTGGTCAAGCCAGGGAGCACCACTGACTGTCTCCAAACCATTCCTCCCCCTCACCCTCTGCCTCGTCCTCCTCAGGCTCATCCTCTGGGGCCACAATGTCACCAGCCCCAAGGCAGATGTTGTGGAGGTTGGCACATGCTGCCATGACCTGAAATGGTAAAAAATATATTTCAGTCTAAAAATATTTTTTTATGGTTTTTGATGAATCAGTCTGTTGATTTACTCATTAGTATAATTTAAAAAAAAATACTCACGTGAGGTACAAAGGTGTGGTGCACCTCCAGCGCTTGCCGGATGATGGCCCGGAACCTGGTCTTCATCATCCCAAAAACACGCTCTATAATGGAGCGTGCCCTGGAGTGATGGCTGTTAAAGCTCTGGGCTCCCACAACTTGTATTGGCCTCTTGTAGGGAGTGATGAGGGGGAGTGGGTGTTGGAGGCACAGCTACCCTCCGTCTGCAAGGATGAAATACCCTTGAGGAGGATAGAGTGAATTCCTGTATAGTGGACTATAGCGGAGCACTCTGGAGTCGTGGACCGACCCAGGCCAGCCCACGTTGGTGTCAATGAAGCGGCCCTGATGGTCACAGACAGCCTGCAGGATGATGGATGGAAACAGTTTCCTGTTCATGTAGCACTGACCATCAGGGCCACTCGGTGGCTTGATGCGGACATGGCAGCCGTTGATTGCTCCAGCTGCTTTAAAAAAGGCTCTGTGTCTTGCCAGCCCTGCAAACCCACGGGATATTGGTTGTAACTCATCCCGGGTCTTCGGTAGGTGGATGACCTTGTGGCTCCTCAGTGACTCTTTGGACGATGCGGTGGACAGTGGATCGAGGCATTGCAAACACTCTGGAGCGCACCCTGTATGATGCCCCACTTGCCAGCCAGAAGAGAAACACCAGGGTCTCAATCGTCGCACCCCATCCGTGTCTCTGTTCCTGGTTTAGGAGGCCTAGTAGCACTCCCAGGGCCTCCCTGCTCAACTGGAAATCCCGCCGTGTGTCCTGCTGGCTAAAAAACCTGTCCAGCACAGGCACACTCAGATCAATCAGGCCTGGTTTAGAGATACAAGGAGAAGAACAACTGCTATGAAGTGTAGAGAGCTTAGTTAGATAAGGCTTGTATATCTTTCTATTCAACTTGCTTTAGCTGATCAATGACAAAAACAGTATCAATATTTTGATATTAAAGTAAGTTTAGGTTTTCTTTAAATATGAAATTATGTTGTTAAAGTGAAATGGCAGTAGCAATAAACTACGTTAACTGTGGTTAACATCACTGTTAGCTTTAGAAAGCCTATAGTGCCTAAATACATATAAAATGTAACGTTTCTTAGTTACTTTCCCTCGTATTTACCTGGCCAGGGTCCTCTCTCAGCCTGAGATACATCATGCGGCGGCGCCGGCGGTGAAGTACCTCTAGTTCCTCTATTAAAAGGTAAAATATTCGTCTCCATGCCTGTGGACCGCAGCTGTGAAAGTTGCTAGGTGACAGGAGCGGCAATTCCCCACGCATGGGTAAGGGCGGGGTCAGTTGATGACGCAATAGAAAGTCCTCCGTAGACCAGATCGTCTCATTTAACAACGGTCGGTTCGGCCTTCATAGGCCGCATGCCTTCGTAGGCCACGAAGGCCACGCCCTTCGAAGGATGCGGTCCCTGAATTGAGACACATTGACGAGCTCTTTGCCTGGTTTCTGTCAGAACACGTGCTGCAGCATTCTGGATCAGCTGAAGAGTCTTAATGGACTTTTTCAAGCAGCCTGATAATAAGGATAATCTACATGAACGAATCGGAGGCCTCTCTTAAAAAAACATCACCCAGCTCAGGGTCAGAGGTTAACCTCTTAAAGTGACAGAGCCTAATATGACAACATCTATATGCTGCTTAGCACATTGTAACTCAAACATAATGTCAGAGCTTTATTTGACAGGTATGTGTGCACATACAAGGAATTTGACTCTGGATTATACATTGCTCACCATGCACTTACTTATACAGTAATACAATAATAGAATCAAACACAAGCTACAGTATAGAGAACACATATACACACTATAAACAACAACAATAAAGAAAGACTGAGACAATAGTGCAATGAGCAGAGTGCAAAGGATGCATGAGTAAATTATTATTACCATTATTATGTACATGTTGGAGGAGGATGTGATATACAGGTACACATACATAAATACATGTATGATGCAGCAAAGGATACTGGATTGAATAAGTATTGTGTGCAGGTGTTATGTACTTGAGGTAGGTGGGGTTTGGTAAACAGTATATACAATATGACAATATAGCAGTATGAACAGTGTGACCAGCACTGAGATAGAGAATGATGAATAAATTATAATTGGTAACCAGTAAACAGGTGGCTGATTAGAGACAGAGGGGGCAGAGTGGGGGGGCTCATCCTGAAGGCCTCGATCATCTCCACAGTTTTGAGTGTGTTAAGCTCCAGTTTGTTGTGACCGCACCAGAGAGCCTGTTGATCAACCTCCTGTCTGTAGGCCGACTCATCACTGTCCCAGATGAGGCCGATGACCGTTGTGTTGTCAGCGAACTTCAGGAGTTTGACAGATGGGTCTCCTGAGGTGCAGTCATTGGTGTAGAGGGAGAAGCGCAGTGGGGAGAGCACACACCTCTGGGGGGCGCCAGTGCTGACAGTCCGGGTGCTGGATGTGATGTTCCCCAGCCTCACCTGCTGACTCCTGTTAGTCAGGAAGTTTGTTTGCATTTATAGCGCCCCCGGGTGTTCGATTTGAATGAAACTTTCAGGTCATGTTTCAGTTACTTATGAGGACATATCCTGAGAGATTTGTGATGATTGGAAATTGAATATGGGATTTATAGTGTAATTTGTGTAATGCTAAGCTCCTGTCTTGCGCTTGTAGTGCCCCCTAGGGACGTATGTACATCAAACTGTCTAGGTATATCCGAGGCACCTATCTGAACATATCCTGTGAGTTTTGTGATGATTGGCCCTACAGTTGGTGATTTGTGGTCATTTATGTCCAGAGCTACGCCCCATTCAAAGTTCATTGGTCCATATCTTGAAAAGTAATTGACATATCATGCTTTATTCAACTTTTGTTAGGCTTCATCCAATGATGATTCACTGTAAATTTGGCGGCAATCGGAGCTACGGTCTAGGAGGAGATGTCAAAAATGTGATTTTCAAAAAATTCAAAATGGCGGAAAGATTTTATAGGCGGACCTTAATGGTACTTGAGGCTTTTTTGTAGAGCACATTGAGCTACACCTGTGTGAGAAAGCCCCTTACACCGTAAGTCAATCGGACTTACGGTGTAAGGGGCATGGCCTTTCAAAGTTTGCATTTTTAAGCCTAAATTATAGTGCCACAATGTGGCCGATTGGGTTCATATTTCTATGGAAGCTATGCGGTATGAATCCTAATAACTAAAACACACAAACACAGAAGGGTTCTACCGCTATGCTGTATGAACCCTAATGACAAGACTGAGAGTTGATCACACAAGACTGAATGCTACCTTGTTTTTATTGGGGAAAAGAAACAGTGAAAACTGTGGGGTTAAAGAAAATGTTGAACATGTCATTTTGCTACATATTGTTTGAGTTGGAAAGACAGGGTTCAGGAGGCAGGGCGGGAATGGAATCTGATGGGGGTATAGGGAACAGAAGGAGAAGAAAAGGGGATAAGAATCACCAGGAAGGCATTATTTAAATTTCTTAAAGACACTGGGTTGGTGAACAAAACATGAGAGCACCTTTTTGGGGTCTGTAGTTGAGTGAGATGATGTTACACACTCCAGCGCAGTAGGTGGCGGTATGCACTTAAAAGTTGTTTGCAATCCGTCATCATCAACTAAGAAGAAGAAGGAGAAGCAGAAGAATAAGAAGAATAAGACTCATAACATCGTTGAACACTATGTCGTCTCTCATGTGACAGAATTTTACGGTATGTTCATTGCTTCACACTCGGCCTGTGTTGTTAATGTCCTTTTGTTAGCAAAATGCCCACAGCTGTGAAACCGTTGTTAGCTCGGCTTCCACCGGCTCATATCCACACACAGCACCGTGTTCTGTGTTCTGCTCAAAGCAGAAACAACAAAAACTATTTACAGGAGTGTAGTTAGCCCCAAACACAGTGGAGATAATTGCTGCACTATTGGGAACACACACAGTCATAACCTTAGCTTACTAGCTTATGTTGATTTAGTCTAACGTTAACGTGCATCGCGACGCTAACGTTAGCTGTAGGGGAAATGAACGTGCGTTGCCGGGTACCCTTACTGTGGTGGAAGCGTGTTAGCAGAGCTGCCAACTTCTCAGTACAGCTTGGAGTGACTTTCTGTATCGCTGAACACACCGCAGGGGCGAGATCAACAATTTCAGCCCCTCCAGGCTGGGGCAAAAAGTGACATTGACGAGCATGTCGAAATTCTGAAAAGAAGAAATCTCTAACATTTCAATAAAAGGCACTCACCAGCCACCTTACCTTAAGAAAAAGATTCCTGTCTTGAACAACAGATCCTTTGTTTTTTTGCACCTCTTGCTGTTGTGAAAGGATGTTAGACATTTTATTTGATCTCTCAGATTTGTCTCTGTATTTTCACCACTGTATTCACATCTAGACTAGACTAGGGCAGGGTGACATGGCCAAAAAAGTTATCACGATGAAACATTTCATATCATTCCATATCGATAATTGTCACGATAAATGTCAAATCTTTCAAATGTTATTTCTTTCAAGTTTAAAGACTGATTTTTGCTCCTTACTGAAAACACATAGATTCATTTTGGTGGGCCTTCTTCTAGGTGGCTAAAACATGACAGCTGCTGACCGGCAGGTCCAACCATTATTGTGTCTGCGGGCCGCAAGGTGCTGCTTATGCTGGTTTCACACAGAATGCCACTTTTAAACTTGCATTGCTTTCTTTGCATGAGTTTGACGGCTGGACTTCTCGCACGAGTGTTCGCACGGAGTGTGACAACGCAAATAAATACAACCCGCCATTATTAAAGATGTAGTTGGTTGCAATAATGGGTCAAACTTATGCAGAAATAACTACACCATGATGCTAATTTGACAACTTTTTAAATGCTTTTTTCTGCATGGAGTTTGAGCTTCTGTCACAGTGAAGTACAACGGTAGCTGGAAACAAGTTTTGTCCGCTCTGCACTGTGTCCCTGTCTTCTGCACACAACATTCTGAAAAGCTGTCTGACGTCTGGACAGTCTGATTGGCTATCGCCACGTAGTGTCATGTGAATCTATCCCTCCAGTTGAAAAATTCCAACTCGTGTGATGGAGCATTGCCAGCGCACCCAGCTCGCCTCCTGGCAGGAAAACTCATCCCTCTGCGTCTTTGCATTGACTTTGAATGTAATCGCACCGGCCACAGCGCTGGCAGCCCCCGTTAATATATTAATTTGTTTTTTATATTCTCTCTGACCAATCAGCAGTCTGCTATGTTTTCATGTCACATTTTAGTATCGCCTCAGCTCGCTTGGAACCTCAACAGAGGTGATACGAAAAAAAATACCAGGTAACAAGTACAACTTTTTCACAATGGAAAACCAAAAAAGGCGAGTTCAGCTGGAACCATGCGGTGGCACGCACGTGTGTGGGTGTGTGTTGTTAGTGTGAACTTGATGCCTGAATGTAAAAGCCAGTGGAAAGACCATTATCTCTACCAGTACAGGTTTGTGTTTTTGATGGGTCAGTCTGATGTCATGGTTTTTTCTGCAGCACTCAGATGTTAGTGTTGTGTTGGAGCAGGGATGTGTGAGGCTGCAGAGAAAGACCTGTATGCAGTCCTGGGAGCCAGCCCTTCAGACTCTCTCCAGCAGCTCAGACACCGATACCAGCAGCTGGCCTTACAGGTAAATACGCTGTCTCTGTGTCAGCCTAAAGCAACACTCAACCACTGCTGCATTATACTACAGGCAAGTTTTGCCTGTCTTAACATACAGGCCCATATGTACGTTGAGGAAATTGAGTCACTGCAAGCATTCGTCATGTTCATACTGACTGTAAAGTGATAATTTCCAAGCAGAACTACACGGTAGAGGGTGGGACAAAATGTGCTGTGTTAAAATAGATTCTAGAGTCTCATCATGCTGAATTAGACAAATCCAAGGTGTCTTCCTAAGTTAAAGTTGCAGTCTACTGTGTGTGTGTGTGTGTGTGTGTGTGTGTGTGCGCGCGCACGCGCATGTGCACAGTACCACCCAGACCGTCTTGGAGGTGAGTGTTCTTCTGAAGCAGAGTCTGGTGTGAAGAAGTTTCTAGAAGTTGATGCAGCGTGGAGGATCCTTAGTGACCAGAACACCAGGAGACAGTATGACCTGCAGAGGAGAGGTAGGACTTCACATTTCAGGTGACATGTTAAGTTTTTAAGACATGGAAAAACCTCTGTTATTAGTCGTGTTCGTATGATTTTTTTTCCTGTATTTTATGGCAGTGGTCAAGATTTTAGACTCTGTGAGTAAAATCTCTTAACATTGTACAAAGCTGAAGTGGAAAGCGTACAAGCTACTACAGAGGAGGAGCTAACCGGCTGTGATGGCCATGTGCTGAATACCTCAGGCATACAGATGAAACTTGAAAAATTTGCATATCGTGCAAAAGTTCATTTATTTCAGTAATTCAACTTAAAAGGTGAAACTGACTAATTATGTAGACTCATTACATGCAAAGTGAGATATTTCAAGCCTTTATTTGATATAATTTCGATGATTATGGCTGACAGCCAAATTCAAAATCTCAGAAAATTAGAATATTGTGAAAAGGTCCAGTATTGTAGGCTCAAAGTGTCACACTCTAATCAGCTAATTAATCCGAAACACCTGCAACGGGTTCCTGAGCCTTTTAATTGGTCTGTCAGTCTGGTTCAGTGGAATTCACAATCATGGGGAAGACTGCTGACCTGACAGTTGTGCAGAAAACCATCATTGACACCCTCCACAAGGAGGGAAAGCCTCAAAAGGTAATTGTAAATGAAGTTGGATGTTCTCAAAGTGCTGTATCAAGGCACATTAATAGAAAGTTAAGTGGAAGGGAAAAGTGTGGAAGAAAAAGGTGCACAAGCAGCAGGGATGACCGTAGCCTGGAGAGGATTGTCAGGAAAAGGCCATTCAAATGTGTGGGGGAGCTTCACAAGGAGTGGACTGAGGCTGGAGTTACTGCATCAAGAGCCCCCACACACAGACGGGTCCTGGACATGGGCTTCAAATGTCATATTCCTCTTGTCAAAGACATAAGACCGAACAATGCAGAAAAGCTGAAGGCCGCTATTGAAGCATCCTGGTCTTCCATAACACCTCAGCAGTGCCACAGGCTGATAGCATCCATGCCACGCCGCATTGAGGCAGTAATTCATGCAAAAGGGGCCCAAACCAAGTACTGAGTACATATGCATGATTATACTTTTCAGAGTTTTTTTTTTTTTATTGATTTCATGTAATATTCTAATTTTCTGAGATTTTGAATTTGGGGTTTTCATAAGCTGTACGCAATAATCATCGAAATTATATCAAATAAAGGCTTGAAACATCTCACTTTGCATGTAATGAGTCTATATAATAGTTTCACCTTTTCAGTTGAATTACTGAAATGAACTTTTGCGTGATATGCTAATTTTTCGAGTTTCACCTGTATCTGTAAAAACAACTTTTATTCAAGGAGGTCAGTCAAGATAAGAAAATAGTATTATGTGCTTAGAGTAAAAATGTAGTGTTTTTATACACCAAAAACCAACTGTCCTCATATGTGGACGTCATGCAACAGTGGAGTCAGATTGAATTAAGTCAACTTTTTCCAGGATGTGTTGTATGAGTAAATAATAAATACTAAATGATAAAAATAGAGTTGATAAAAATGCTTGTGAATGGAAAATAAAGGGGTTAAATGGATGTGAAATGAAAAATAGTGATAAATATTGAAGTGATTTGATTAATTTTAAGTTGATTAAAACAGTAGTGATAGAATGAAAACATAACCGTTTTTATTTATCAGTCATATTTTACATCCTAAAATTGGCATTCATCATTTAAAGCAGGTAGCCTCAAGGGTTGAAGTAACAAAGTAAATAAATAAAGGAGGTGAGGAAAATGCATGTGAATTGAAATACAGAATGGTTAAATTTAAGGTGAATTGAAATCTAAAGTAATAAATTATCAAGTGATGTGATAAACTTGATTTACCGATCATCGTTCACAACACCCTGCTGTCATTCATTGTTTACTGCATGTAATTTTAGTTCCTTCCTGTTGAAACTGTCATCACAAAACACAAACTGAGTTTTTGCCTCTCAACTCGTCATCCTCTGAGTGGAGGAATATTATGCCGTGCTCTGCTGTTAATTGTACAACAGACTAGCCAAGAAGCCATTGCTCCAGTTGTTTCGATGAGTGAAATTGTAGTATTTCATTTATGTGTTAGCAATTATTAGCAGGTATCGTCATGGGCATAAATAGCATGTTAGCATAGCTCGTTAAGCTAATTAGCACAGCTTCGAGCAATCCCAAGCTATGCTTACGATGCTAACTGAACGGGAGGGTATGCTGACCAGTTTTTAAAGAGTCATGCACAGAAGTCAAAACCTGTTGGAGAAGTTAATTTTGGGGTGACAATACTTTGGAGCAAAAGGCTCAAAAGAGGTCACTTGTGACAACCTGCAATTATCACTAGGTTGCACCACCGGTGGGAAACGCCCATTTTGATTCAACCTACTGATTCATTACCGGATGGGGCGACAATGAAACCGACTGCCTGAAAATGTCAATGTGTCAGAAGTAGTGATATGCAATACCACTTAATAACTATCCGATCCAATACCAAGTAATACCCAGGCTGGAATTGCCGATACCAATTCTACATTTTTTTTTTTTCTAGTTTAAGTGACCTCCCTCTTCTGTTTCTGTTTATTAGAGAAATAAGGAGTAGGCTGTGGTCTAACCAATTCAAAATAATAGGTGCGTAATGACAAGACATCAAACTACTGTCATATTCTTTAATTATAATGAAAATATCCTGCTCAGAACTGCCGCTTCATAACATCATCATATTATTTTGACTTGAGCCTATAATTAGACCATCCTGGTGACAGCAAGATACTTATGATAAAACACACACTCACTCCAAATTACTGAGTGTAGATATCGATCCTTTTATATGGGTATCCTAGAGCAAGAAATGTTGGTATCAGAAATATCGATACTTTAGGATCGATCCACACATCACTAGTCGGAAGGAGAGCGAGGGAGAGGAGCAGTGACAAAAGCGGCCTGAGCGACACGCTCTTGAACAGTCAGAGAAAATCAAAGTAAGGTAGTTAAATCCCTTGCGTACCGTTTTTTTCATCCTTGACTTTCAGCCGTTCACCAATCCTGTACACTTATCCTTTGTTTGTGCCTGAGGAATTAGCTTTATTTATTTGTTTTGCTTTAGCACTGGACTGAATTTATTGTCATTTGTGTTTTTTGACTGCAACTAATTTGTGTTTTTGAGATTGGTTGGTTTAAGTGTGTAGAAAACCCGAAGTGGAATTTTGAGTTGGATTGTGATTACTTTGTGATTGTGTTTGTGTGAAATCCTTTAATACACAAATGTTTTGTTTGTGCTAAGCTTTTGAGTTGTGGTGGTTCTTTTTTTTTTTTTTTGGTGCTTCAGTGGGAGGGTGTACGTTTATGAATGTATTTTTGTGTCCTTTTTAATGCAAGCAAAAAATATGTTTTGAGCATATTTATCGCACTGCAATCTAAAATTAAGTTTGAAATTCTAAATAAACAGACCTTTTTTTGTGTCAAAGTTTTAATTGTTAATTTGTCCTTATTGATTGCAAGTTAAAAAGTTTTCCTTGCGAGTCAAAGTTTTGCAAGTTAAAAAGTTTTCCTTGCGAGTCAAAGTTTTGCAAGTTAAATAGTTTTGCAAGTTGAAAAGTTTTGCAAGTCAAAAAAGGTCTAAATAAGAGATTCTATTGGTGGTTTGACTGACCAATCATGGGTTTGCATCGAACGCATGGCCACGCCCACAATCCCCTCACTCCAATGGCTTCGTCCACTTTCTGGAGACGGAGCTGTAACGTATACAGGCTAGATGGAGGTAAGTTGACGTTATGTCGCTCATTTCAATAGAAATGCTTTTTAAACGTAGTATGGCACGATTTAATGATTATTTATATTTACTGTTGGCAAGGTAACGGAGTCTATCTCTATCTATCTATCTGTCTCCTTTTTTAGAATGACATGTATAACAGTTAGCTAACGTTAGCCGTCTTGGCATGAATCTTGACTGGCGGTGCATTTGTGCACTCATACATGATGAGCTAGGCTAGCTACTCATGTTTTAAAACACATTGTACATGATATTTAGCTAAACCAGTTTTCTGTGACTGTGGTAACTGAAGTTTATGGTCACACAGCATACACTGTAATAGACTTTACACTGCTAATATTGAAAAGATAGACTGTTATTTAGATATTTTGAGGTGTTGCTGCCTTGTTACGTTTTCTCCATTAGATATGACTTTATTACACTCATTAATTTTCCTCCCATAGTTGCAGTGTGGATCATTGGTGACCGCTATGTCCAGCATGGTGGCCAGAGAGCTGCAGAGAACTTAGGAAGCATCTTCGCCCTGCTGGACGTCTCTTGGTCTGGCTGGCTTCTCCCCTTCATTTCCCCTCCCTATGAAGAAGGGCACCATCAGATGTCCTCATTATCCACTGTGGTGGCAGCAGCATGGGGAAGGTCATCAGCGTGGAGCTGGTCAACATGGAGGACGACCTGCACCGGCTTTACCTCCAGCACCCTGGCATGAAGACCCTGTTTTCGTCTGTGACCCAAAGTGTTTGTGGAAGGCTGGTGCCAATCAGTGGTATGGCTATATTTGTTTGTAGCTTAAATGATGCCATGATTGGGAACCCTCGCATCAGACATGGCAGTCCTGGGCTATATTTGAAAAATGGATTTTATTTCACAACTAGGGCAGATTATGTAAGTACAGTAGCTAATTGCCTCAAAGACCACCTCCAAATGCAGTGAACTGCTTTTGAATTTGGCTTTTGGGACCCATTTCCTTGCACCTAAACATAGCTGACAGTCATGGTTAATGTTGTTTCATAATATTTGTTAGAATGAGTAATAAATTCTTCTATGTCACATCTAATGTTACAGGAGAAAACGTAACAAGGCAGCAACACTTCAATAACAGTCTATATTTTCAACATAATATTAGCGGTCTAAAGTCTATTACATTGTTTGCTGTGTGACCAAAACCAAGTTTAGCTGGATATCATGTACAATGTGATAAACATGAGTAGCTAACCTTAGCCTAGCTCGTCATGTCTGAGTGCACA